CGAGCAGGAGCCGCTGACGACATAGTTGAACCTAAACGGGAAGTCAATTATCAATAATCGATCACGCGATCGATTTACACAAATTTTTTTCCGCAAAAAATTCTCGAAAATCAACGACCCTACAGTTTCGATCAACTCACAGGGGAAATAATATTAAAATTTTTCATTCGTTTTAGTGGAGTTTCGCCCGCCTTAGCAGAGTAGCGTTTTACTCAGTGAAAAACGCGATATTCGTGGTGATATGCAGTAGTCGTGAAATATGTTTTTCATATCACTAGGGTTAAAATCCAGCAAAAAATTACTTTTCCATAAATCGTCGTGGCAAGTATGGGAGTATGGCTGCGAACTCAGCAGCTCCGAATTTCGGAGCTAGAAAAACTTAAAAAAATAGAAAAACTTAGAAAAACATCGTAAATGATACTAGGAAGCAAAATTCAGAAACGGCAAAAGTGACCTTTTAGAAACTATCGATGTTGATTAATTTCACGTCACCAACACACATATATTCTTCCAAAAATCAGACTATGAAGTTAAAAAATCAAGAAGAAGAAATTTTCATGAAAAAAATATACGCAATTGAACTCGTCCAGTCGTGATTGAAAATTACTAGAGGGGAGAAAACGGGATTTTAATCGCGGTTTTCGGTGGGTGAAAAATTCCGGAAATCCAACTATGGAAAAGATAGTAATGAATATAACATGCGTTTGATGGGTTTTAGGATGAGATTCATTATAGGTCCATGATGTAAGATTCATTATAGGTCCATGATATAAGATTCATTATAGGTCCATGATATAAGATTCATTATAGGTCCATGATATAAGATTCATTATAGGTCCATGATATAAGATTCATTATAGGTCCATGATATAAGATTCATTATAGGTCCATGAGATAAGATTCATTATAGGTCCATGAGATAAGATTCATTATAGGTCTACTACATATAAACCCCTATATTTACCATACAGAATAACATCACTACTCACATCCCCTTCCTTACTACTACTACCTCCCACCCCAGCCGAAAGCCCTGCTTGTCCCAGGTCCATACCACCTATCGAGGAGCGACGACGACCTTCAAAGAGGCCCGGCAAATGAGGTAGTGGTGGTAGCAGTGATACAAAAGGTGGTATCTGAGAACCTCAGATCGTATCGCACAACGTCTGGGATGATCATCATCACTAGCTAATATTATGAAAGATCTTCACCCAACTCTTCTCAACAAACGATTCTCTTATACACTACGCACTCATCGAAATCGGAAATTTGGAAATTTTCTCAGAAAATTACGTAAATTTTATTATCAACCTCAATCTTCATATTATACCACGCCACATAACTCTACCCCTAAAACTACCTCACTATCGAGAAGCCTCGGCCGGGCGGCCTTGATAACAGACATGATTAAATACAACGAGTAACGCACTGTGAAGATTCCTAAGATACCTCCTCGAGTAACGCACTGTGAAGATTCCTAAGATACCTCCTCGAGTAACGCACTGTGAAGATTCCTAAGATACCTCCTCGTCATCATAAAATATACCACCTTAGACTCGACCCAACAACCTCCCAATGAGCAACCACGAGCACTAACCTCCCAACCACTTGATACTATCTACCACTAATCAATTCTCTCCTGCTATGCGTAAAAACGACGACTTCTTACATACACAGTTCCTTGCAAGGCTAATCACGTGACATAACAGTTTATGGTTCACAAGAAGACCTCCAGAACGAGTCCTTAAAAACGATGAAAACTAACCCCCCATCAGCTGCAGACCCGCGAACAATATATACTATTATAAGCAACAACGGGTCCATCAACAACTCAGAATTAATGCGAACCGAACAGTTATGCATATCTAAATTTTTGAAATCATTTTCTCACAATTTCATACTAG